CCCCCCCCCCCCCCCAGTTTCCCACAGAACTGGAGCACCGCGCTGGTTGCAGCCTGGAGGACTACAAGGAATTCATTGATAATGAGATGCTTCTCATCATGGCCCAGATGGATCGGCCATCCAGGATCTTTGAGCACCTCTATCTGGTGAGGAGGTACAATGAGGTATCAGCGGCACTTTGTGGTCATACCCTGGCGGACCATAATCTCTCCCCATTAGACCTGTCTCAGACGCTCCCTGATGACAAAAAGGTGGGAGTTCTGCTGCCACCTAGTGGTCTTCAGGCTGAGCCTCTTTCCCATTAGCTTCCTTCCTACTGCCTCTATGTCCTCACCCCTCCATGACCTGTAGCTGGTGATTCCCCTGGGGCAAAGCTGTCCTCCCCTCTCTGTCTGTTACATGTGGACTAAACTTGTAGGAGTAACCACGAAATGCAGTTTGGACACAACACTTTTGATTGTGTGGAAAGGTCCTCAACCGTAACGTGGCTGGACAGCGAAACGCAGCAGCATCCAGACAATAACTTCTTAGAGGTGTATTTTCTAAGCGTGGAGCCTTAGCTGCTTATGGATGCTTGACTAATCCTTTATAGCACTCTAGTGGCACCCTTTAAACAAATAGTTCCCCCCCACACACACACACAAATTCTCGGACTCATTGTCACAAGGTGCTGTGTGAAGGACAGGTGCAGAATGCCAACAAGACTGTTTGGTTATTTTTTGGAAGGTTGACAGATCCTATGTCAGGAGACATCTCTGCTAACAAACAATGAGTTGTGCTTTGCATTAATTAGCCCACAATGAAAAAATCACCCCTAGTTCTGCACATTATTTCTTATATGAATTCCCACATCACCATTGTTCTTAAAAGGATACGGCAAACCCTTGGACTTTTTATCCACCTTGACTTTTTTAAAAAATTAAATATAAAAAAACAGTTAAAAATATGAAAGCAAGTCCTGGTGTTTATGCAGGGCAAACAGGGAGGTGTCGATTTTATGTGCTGCTGAGGCTTCCAAGAGGGGCATCCATTTTTCTTGAAGATTGTCAGGAACGGGTTGATTTTCGAATCGTAGGATGCTAGTGGAAACTTTGTCCTGTAAGAAGAAGTCCCACAGTTTCAGGAACCAGTCACTCAGTAGCAGCGTCTTCTTGGATTTCCAATGAAATGCAATAACATTCCTAGCGGCCGCAAGACACAATTCTATCAACTCTTTCATAAGCCTATTGGGGGCAGGATGGCTCCAATGATTCAAAAGGAACAAGGAGGGTTGTAGTTGGAGGGCGCAACCTGTAATTAAAAGTATTTGGGCATTGACTTCTCTCCAGAAGGCCTGGACCTTGACTGACATACTCCCCAAGGGAGTTAAGGGAAATCTAAGCCATACAGTTTGTTTGTTTTGCTTAAAATATTTATGCATTGCTCTTCTTTTCTTGGAAGAAGGTGCCCAAGGCACCTAACAGTTGATAAAATCATAATCAACTAAATCAATTCCAACAGAAAACTAAGAAAATCATAATACACAGGAACAAGAATAAAAACGATGAACTCCACCCCATGGTAGTATAAAATATTCAGCATCTATCTTCCTGAAAAGCCATCTGGAACAGGGACAATTTCAACCTGTTTCCTGAACAAGAGGAGGGAAGGGGGTGCGGGGGGGGGACTCCCCCTGGCAAGAGAGATCCACGATCTAAGGTCCACTTCTGAAAAGGCCTCCTCCCATATGTGCCCACCAACCTTGCTTCAGAAGGAGGTAAAACATACAGAAAGGTCTTGGAAAAAACAAAGGAAAGTGGGTAGGAAACCATTAGGTAAATTCTAATGAATAAGTGATCTTGAATATATTCTCTCAAATAAAATAGATTAATTGGCTGGCTGAAGTTAACTTTTGTCCTGTGCAGGCAAGAATAGGCCATGTGGGACCACAGTGTACTTCGGGATTTCCAAGGGATGAGGCCCATGGAAGAATATTTTTTAAAATGCAAACAAGTGACCACACTGATCCCCAATACCATCCATCAGATAAACCAGAGGGGCAAACAGTTATTCATACTTTGCTGAGTTGGCACAGTGGCATGTGCAGATCTACCCTGTACCCTTGCAGCATGAAGTGGTACAATTGAAGAAGGACTCCATGACATAACGTTGCTAAACACATAACTCAACTCTGAGCTGTTCTCTGAGGGAAGCGTTCAGTAAGGAAGTCAAGGACATAAGCATGTTTGCTCACTGTTTACATATCATGGGATTGAAGGTATGTCTTGTGGTGTTCTTTTCTGCTCCAGGGCTCTGAATGGAATGCAGCCAACCTTGAGGAGCTTCAAAGGAACAAGTATGTGGTCCTGTACAAGACGTTGCCCTGCCGCACAATGCCAGCAGCTCTGGGAAAGATCCTTTGATCTAGAATCCTTCTCGAAAAGTACTGGGTTCACCGCATGGAGGACTCGGACAAGGACATGTGCTTGTACACGTCTATTGTACTTAACACTGAACTGCAAAACGGCCCTATATCCACAACCACCCAGCACACCCACAGTCCCAGTGGAGGGTTTGAATTTCCCACCAAAGTTCCTATTGGTTCATGCTGGGGGAACGAGGATCCTCAGTTCCTGTTGTCTGGAGGAACTAAGCTGTTGCCTGTAGCCGCGGACCCCTGGTGGCAGTCCACGTACATAACACTTATGACCATTTGCCACAGCTCTTAATGAAAGTTTGTTTTCTAACCAAAAAGGATTTCTGCTGCAGGTTTTGATCCCACTCTGGGCTACTGAGCAATTGTAGGATGAGATGGTTAGAAGAGAAGATAGGGTCTTATTGGCTGGGGGAACAAGGATGACAACCTAGTGGTAGGAAGTTGCTTACACTCTCCACATGAGGGCGTACTAGAGAACCCAGCCTGTTCCCTGCCTTGTCTTTCAGCATCAGCCACATCCTCAATGTAACCCGTGAGATTGACAACTTCTTCCCAGAGCATTTCACATACATGAATGTGCGGCTGTATGATGAGGAAACGGCACAGCTACTGCCGCACTGGAAGGAGACCTACAGCTTCATTTCAGCTGCCCGGTGAGGAGGAGACATGGAGATGGAGTGTGTGTGTGCGCGCGCGCATGCACATATACGAATGCAGCCACATCATCTGTGTATTGTTAAAGAGGGTCACTACCAGTGTCCCCGTCTCACAGTGGCAGTACATGCACGGACACTTCTGAGTGTCCACTTCTTCTGCGAAACATACTCCTTGGAAATTATTTAGAAGGACCTATGAAACAGGGCAAAAAGTGGAGGCAGGAAGCTTACTCGTACTCTGATTTGGTTTCATGACATAATCTCATAGCTGCATCTGTTTGGCTGAGTGATAGAGAGATGCTGTGACGAAACAGGGACCCGCCCTCAGCCCTGGGAGACTGAATAGCCGTTCTGTGGCTCGCAAGCCCCTGTTTTTGCCTGCCCACCCTGCCTCGAGGGGCTATTTCCCTTCCTCATTTGTTGCCACCACTCACTGAATGGACACCGCCTTCCTAGAGGGACAGTGAGAACCCCTCTGGCTGATTCCGCAACCCGGGAAAGTGGATATCTCAATCTTTGGGTGCCCCCTGGAGATTTGGCAACCCTTCCGATTTGAGCCCGTTTTGAGTTCCCTGGCCTCCCTTTGCCTCTGGTAACGTGCCGAGCGGGGAGGACTATGTGGTCAAGGCACGACCAGGCTTTATAATTAAAAAAAGAAGATTTATCATAACAATATACAAGTTAGGCACAGGAAATAAACACAGGCACATCAACTCAACCTGGGCAGAGAAAATAAACACAATCTAAACGCAGTACCTCTGTCCCCGACACACACACACACACACACCCTCTCTACCTCTCTGGTGGGTGGCTGCAGGCCAGGATTAGCTCCCCCCCCTTGGTTGGAGAGAAGCTCCAGCCCTCCTCAGGACTGGTCACCAGTACTGCTAACCCTCCTGGCTGTCCACCGCGATTTACAGTGGCCTGGACTGACCACGGAGTGTTGGTAGCAGGAGTCCCACCTGCACGCGCCCCCTTGAAGCTGCTGTTCAAGCTCAGGCCAAGGCTAGGCTGAGACTAAAAAAAAAACAACCCTCCCATGAGGGGCCAAAGCCTTTGTCTCTCCGGCTCGGCCCCCGGGGTGGGTCCCTACTTTCCCACTCTTTTCCCCTAAAGCTGCTGGGAAATGTAGGCCAGGAGGTATGGCAGCCCCATTGTTCCCTGTGGAGCACCTCCCCCCTCCAGAGGACTGCCCGCCTGGCAGCCATTTCAAAATAAACTGCTGCCTCTGCCTCTGCCTGGCAGCCATTTCATTACAGATGCCCTCATGCTTATGAAGTGATCTCTGATTGGCTGGTATTTTCTCATGAAACTGAGCACAAGGCATCTGTTGTGAATGGGCAAATGCTGAAGCAAAGATTCTTCCCTGCAGGGTACAAGGCTCGCGGGCGCTGGTGCACTGCAAGATGGGTGTGAGCCGCTCTGCCTCCACAGTCGTTGCCTACACCATGAAGGCCTATGGCTGGTCCCTGGAACAGGCCCTCTGGCATGTGCGGGAGCGGCGTCCCATCGTCCACCCTAATCCAGGTTTCATGAGACAGCTGGAACTTTACCAGGGTATTCTGGATGCCAGGTAAGCTCAGGGGAAGGGCAAGAAGGGCACGGTGTTATCTGATCAGTGCATGTATGAGGGGTTAAGGGGACCGACGGGGACGACTCTGCAGCTGCCCAACTTTGTCAGCCCACCAGGAGGCACTAGCTTAGCACCCATACAGAATTTGGATTGGTTATTGTCCAGTGGCTCTGATAAACATCGCATACAAATATGTAAAAGGGTAGCCTGAAAACCCCCCCTTTAGGTGAAAAAGCAGTTTAAGCAGAGAACATTTGGGAGTAAAGAGAAGGTGGGGGTGTTTGAACCGATCCCCTTCTCTCCCATGGGGTTTCAAATGCCTATTTGCAAGGGAGAGAACATGGGTTTGAACCCCTACATGTGAAGAAGTAGTGGGGGTGGGTTGTGTACTTGGGGCAGGAGGGCAGCAGGAAAAGGGTTAAGCACCCCCTCTGCTTCCCTGGTCCCGGTCACCAGGGGGTGTTTTTTAGTTAAGCGCCCTTGTACACATTTATACATGATGTGTCGTTTGAGTTGGAGCTAATGTGGGTGGTGGCTTGTCTTGCTTAAATTGCAGCCAAAAAGTTGTAACGATTTTGCTTACGTTTAATTCATTGTATGTATCTTTCATTTTACATTTTAACCTATAAAGCTTTCCATGGCTTGGGAGTAGGGAACCTGGAAGCCTTCCTGAGCACGGGGTTCCCCATCTCAGGTTCCTCTTCCTGTTTCCCTCCCTTCAGAAGTGAGGTGGATCGTCACAAAGGAGACTTGTGTGTGGGTCTTTGCCAAGCATCTTTCTTTTATCAGGCTCAGACGAGAATCACTTACGCAGGGGTGGTTTACCCCACTTGAATGCTCTGGAGAGCAGATTTCTGTTCTGCTTCCCTGTTGTTTCACGGCACTTCCATGCACCTTCCAGGCTTTCCCTGACTTTTCTGTGATCTTTCCCAAATCTGCTTTGCAGTGATGTTTTGGGAAAGGTCTCAGTAAGGCCAGGATGGCACCCATACAGAAGGGAAACTTGGGCCCTTCTGGTGCATCCATTTCCTCCCTGACACCGCCGGGGTGTGTGTGTGTGTGTGTGTGTGTGTGTGTGTGTTTGGTTAATCAGCCATTGAATACCACGTTTTAATGCTCCAGTGTTCTCTGAATCCCCAGCTTCCATTTTGTTTAAAGTGACCTTTTATTTTTCTAAATGCAACCCAGTACATCACAGTCCTCTTCTGTGTCTGTGCAGCCGACATAGCAACCTGTGGGAACAAAAGGTGGAAGAGGCCCAGTCAGACGGTTCTTCAGACGTAAGCGATGTCAGCAGTGGTCCTTCAGGAAGCCCAAACTATGAGACGGTGAGCTCAGAGGAAGAACCAGAGGAGCCAGTGACAACGCCCCAATATTGCTTTCGACCGCTGCGGGAACCCCCTGAAGAACCCAACCAGCCTCTAGACCCACCTGATGGCACCCAACTTAGCCTTCTGGAGACAGAGGAACACGGGGCATCGGATGATTCAGGGGCTGAGGAAGTGCGAAGACACCTGGCTACAATGAAAGTATCAGAGCAGTCAGTCCAACCCCGGCGAGAGCGCATTAACCTCTATGCAGTCATGCGCAGCATCAGTGAGATGGATAGCCCAGAACACATCCCTGTGCCAGAGTGTGCCACAGAAGAAGAGGTAATGGTGTGTCTGTGTGATGACCTTCACCAAAACAAGCCACAGGAGGGCAAGTGGGGCAAGGAATAATGAGATGTGCAAAAAAAATAATGGCAATGCACAAAAAGATGCTGAGCAAGGAGTTGCCGGGGAGGTACAAGGTCTAGAACCTGGGATGGAATGGTGGTGGTGGTGGGGAGAGAATGAAGAGGGATCCTGTTCAGTTGTTAGTACTCCGCCTGTCTACCTCCTCTTTCCTCCAACAGGTATTTCATCATCATCATTCCGAGAGGAAAACGCCCGTCGCTTCTGAGCCATCCCCTTCAAACGAAGAGAAACTGAGACCGGCAACAGACTCTTCAGCAAAACAGGGCTCGCCAGAAAAAGGAAGGGGGCAGGGTCGCACGCCAGGGCACCGTGGGCGTAAGGCTCCCAAAGGCCATTCCCAGCTTTGCAAGCAGCTCTCCTACCACCCAGCAAAGGGTCGCGTGCGTAAAGCTGTCAGGCACATGGAAGGCCCCCCCCCATTCTGCCGCAAGCCCCCCTTACTGCACCGCCTCTCTGTGGCCCAGCTGGCTGATGCTGCCCTGGTTGTGAGTCGTGCCAAAGAGTTTGAGGGACACACACATCCCGAAAGCCCTGATAAGGCCCAGTCGCCTTCTCCACAAGACCCCCGGTCTGGTGAGGACAATGTCCTAAGCCCTATACCCGGCTCTCGATCCCGGCGGATGGTGCGCCAAGCCAGCATAGATGTGGATCCCAGCTCAGGATGAAGATTGGCCTCTGCCTACCCCCCTATAGGCATGGAGCCCAGAGGCTGAACAGAGAACTGATCTGTATCGCGCAGTCGTCTTTCCTCTGCCTTGAAGCTAGAGTCCTGCATTGTCCTGGGAGCCAGTATCTGCTTAGGAGAAGAACAACAGGGAGGATAGGAAACCAGCCCTCTCCTTAGGAGACCACAGCCACCTTGCAAGCTCACCGTCACGGTTGCTCCACAGATAACGGGTAGCACTGGGGGCAGGAAAGAACCGTTACTTTGGCGGGGGCTCACTCCGTGCACTTTTTTCAGATATCACAATGGCCTTGAACACTGCACAGCTCTATGTGGAGGCAACCTTTGATGGTTCTTTCAATGTGCTTTGATGCCACTGAGCACTTCTTTATGGAGCGGGGCCAGGGCAGCCGCCTTTCACTGTGATACACTGGGAGAGGAAACTGTCCCTGCTCATCTTTGCATACACAACTACCGTGCCATTGCCAGCTTCATTCAGCCAGAGAATAAACTTGCTTTCCCCTTGTCCTTTCCTCTGTAGTGTGTTCCGTCTTCTGGACATATCTGCCAGGGAGACACCGGCCGTTCCCGGTGTGTTCTACCCCCTGTGGGGCTGTCAGGAGGAGGGGAGCTGATCCTAAATGGGGCCACTCCTGGCTTTTCCTCTGCCGGTGAAAACAGCGTCACCACTTAAGCAGCAGTCGCGTTGAAACAGATCCTTACACAGTAGCCTTCCCATGAAATCTGCAGTCTCCAGTCAGTGAGTCAAGCCTTGCCATGCTTACCTGTCCAGGGAAGCAGAATATGGGAAGGGCTGGCTCCAGGGCCAGTTCACCACCCAAGCAGTCAGTAGGGGGTGCCAAAGGGCAGGAGGCATGGCTTGCCCTGGTTGCCGTCTCCCAGCCAGCCAGCTGCAGAGGCCTCCTGCTGCCACGCAAGTGGGGGGGGGGAGGAGTGCACCTCCTCCTAGTTAGTGCCACTGTCGCCCAAAGCCAGTGGGAGCAAGTCGGAACAGCCCCCCCCCCCGACTGTCCTGCTGCCACCCTCCTTCGAAGCCGGCCGTCTTGGGGCTGAGTCAGTAGCAGCATGCGTGGGGTGAGGGGGAGAACACCTCTTCCTGTGCTGTGCTTCTGTCGACTGAAACCACAACATGAGGGCAGCCCGCTTTCCGGCTGGCTTCTCACACAGAACAGGCAACTGCTGAAATACGAACAATGTGAGAAGCGGCCGTCTGCTTGCACCCTGGGAGCAGAGGAGCTCCCAGGTGGTGGCGACGGCTTCTCCCCCCCCCCAGGTCCCTAAGGAGGCTCCCTCCACCTCCTCATTAGGCCCCAACCAGTCCAAGAAGAGCCGTGCCAGTTCACCGCTTGGGTGATGGACCCTGCAAGGCAAGAACGATCACAGCAGGTGTCTGAATTTCCAGACAGAACAGATTTGCTTCTGGTTCCTTAGCGCAGGCAGCAAGGCCTACTTCCAACTACCTTTTACTCACTTGGGCAAGTAAGAGACCTTGTGGGGGCGCTAAAGCTCCTGACACTGATTACGCAACCCTGATGTTTCAGACAGGAAGGCTCGTAGCAAGCCCCTGGTTGCCATTGGTGGGCCTGCTCAGGTTTTAGGGAGGGCCGGTACAAGCACCCGAGAAGGAAAGGAAGCGGCAGTGTAGGTGTCCAATGATATTTGTTTGCTAATGATATTTAGCTTCCCCAGCTGCCCTGCCAGGAGCCGTACGATAGGTGTGAAAGCGCCGCATGCGGCTCCTGAGCCACAGTTTGGCCACCCTTGGTCCAGAACACTAAAGGAATGAGTCTGAGAAAAAGAGAACCCAAAGAATGGGCTAAGAGAACTGTGTGCACTCCAAAGGGATCTGTTGAGGATGGGCAAGTGGGCGTCAACGTGGCAAATGTGGTTCAATGTGGCGAAGTGCAAAGTGATGCACATTGGAGCCAAAAACCCTAACTATAAATACACATTGATGGGGTCTGAACTGGCAGAGACTGACAAAGAGAGAGATCTTGGAGTCGTAGTAGATAACTCACTGAAAACTTGGAGACAGTGTGCAACTGCAATAAAAAAGGCCAATGCTATGCTGGGGAATTGAAAACAAATCAGCCAGTATCATAATGCCCCTGTATAAATCAATGGTGCGTCCTCATTTGGAGTACTGTGTACAGTTCTGGTCACCACACCTCAAAAAGGATATTATAGCATTGGAAAAAGTGCAGAAAAGGGCAACTAGAATGATAAAAGGGTTGGAACACTTTCCCTATGAATTTATTTATTTATTTAATTGCATTTATACCCTGCCCTCCCTGCAAGCGGGCTCAGGGCGGCTTACATAGGGCACATAGTGCATACAATTGTTGTTGTTCAGTCGCACAGTCGAGTCCGACTCTTCACGACCCCATGGACCAGGTCACGCCAGGCCCTCCTGTCTTCTTCTGTCCTCTGAAGTTGGCTCAATTTCATGTTCGTTGCATCGATGACACTGTCTAACCATCTCATCCTTTGCCGTCCCCGTCTTCTTTGACCTTCAATCTTTCCCAGCATCAGGGTCTTCTCCAGTGAGTGCTCCCTTCTCATTGGGTGGCCAAAGTATTTGAGCTTCAGTTTCATTATCTGGCCTTCCAGGGAACAGTCAGGGTTGATTTATTTTAGGATTGACTGATTTGATCTTCTTGCAGTCCAAGGGACTCTCAAGAGTCTTCTCCAGCACCATAGTTCAAAAGAATCTATTCTTCGGCGCTCGGCCTTCCTTATAGTCCAACTCTCGCAGCCATACATGACTACTGGGAGTACCATTGCTAACTCCCAGCAACTTGTATAACAGAGGGGAAGGACTAGGGCCGTAAATAGATGTTACCCGGCCCACCGGTGGCATTGCTCTATAATGACACGGTGATGGTAGTGGCAGTGGCAACTCCTACTCAAAGGCCTGGTGGAAGAGCTCCATCTTACAAGCCCTGCGGAACTGCACAAGGTCCCGCAGGGCCCTGATCTCCTCCGGCTTTCGCAGTAATCCGGTCCACTGTAATCCCCATCGCGAAGATCAAATCGAGCGTGTGCCCCGCCTGATGCGTAGGGGCCGATACACATTGGGAGAGGCACAGCGAACCTGGTGGTTCGTTGGGTGAGCTCATGGATGACTGGCATAGTCGACTGTCCACGGCCATTGACGTGATTGCTCCTCAGCACCCTCTGCGCCCTCGCTCTAGGCTTGCCCCCTGGTATACCAGTGCCATGGTCGGACCACTACACCCTGAAGGCCCATGTGAATGTCCCACCCCAACCCTGTATAGGCGGCGAGTGGATTTTAGCTCGCTCGCAGAGCCAAATGGACCCAGTGAGGTTTCAACTGGCTCTGTGGAACTGACGCCCCCTGGCGGTTGCATGGTTGGCTGTGATAAGCAGAATAGTGTCCAGGTTACCTTACAAAGAAGCTTTTGTAAAATGGAAGATGCCCCCCTTCAAGATGTTGGTGTGCCACAAATGACTAATACAAGTATGCGTGGGTAGATCGTTTTGTTTCGGTTGCTACCACCCTTCCTTGCTCAAAAGAACTCAGGGTGGTGGGCAATGTTTCCTCTAAGCTCTGCAAAGTTGTCAGCAGAAATCCTACGTTGTGAGCGAAAAAAGCTGGTAGCATTATAGTTATGAGCGTGTCTACATTTGACTATCATGTAAATTAGTTTTTTAGAAGATCATTTCCATAACCTTGTAAAAATCTCAGAATAAATTATTTTAAATTATATTTAAACTATATTTTAAGAATAATTTAAACATTATAAGAGAAAACAGAATCAAGTCAAATTTCACCCACCCTTTCCCACTATATTGGTAGACCTGGCCTCTGGAGAACAGGTCTACCCACCCCAGTCCACTATATTGGTAGACCTGGCCTTGGACTGTCGCCCTGTGCTGAGCCTTAGAAAACATACCAGCACTTATTGGGGGGGGGGGACTCTTGAAGTCTACTTGTGTGTGTGTGTGTGTGAAATATGACAACCAGCATTACAGGTCAAGTATAACAGAGGTGGAACAATCACTGTCAGAATGCTGCATAACCTAACAAACAGGAAGTTGCTTAAATGTTATCAATCTGCCCAAACTAATTTATTCAAATATTTATATCTCACTTTTCCCTGTGACTCAAGGCAGCTTACAAATCATACTGAAAAGCATAATAGGGGTGTGTAAAAAAAATATCAATTTTTTCTGGCTCCATTATAGTCTACATGGGGATCATTATAGTCAATGGGCCCCATAGGCTATAATGGAGAATCAATCTGGGGGTATCTGGGACTCGGGGGGGGGGCCTGTTTTTTGAGGTAGAGGCACCAAACTCGCAGCATAGCTGCTAGTGCCTCTCCTTAAAAAAACACACCCAAGTTTCAAAAAGGATTGGACCAGGGGGGTTCTATGAGCCCCAGAAGGAGGTGCCCCCGTCCTCCATTGTTTCCAATGAAGGGGGAAAATGCCTATTTCAGTTCACTTGTAGACTACGCTGCCAGCTAAAATGTTGCCGCCAGGACCCCCTAACGCAGCTTAGAGGGAACTCTGGGTGGGTATGGAACTATCAAATCTTTATTATTTTCACAACCCTGCAAAGTAGATTGGATAGACAGCTAGTCAATGATAGGCTGCCTTGGCTGATACAAACTGTGATAGACTTATAGAATCATAGAGTTGGGACCTCCAGGGTCATCTAGTCCAACTCCCTGCACAATGCAGGAAATACACAAATACCTCCCCCTCCGTACCCGCAGGGACTGCTGTTCCATGCCCAGAAAATGACAAAAAACCTCCAGGATCTCTGGCCAAACTGGCCTGGAGAAAAATTGCTTCCTGACCCCAAAGTGGCAATCAGCATTCCCTTGGGCATGTAGGAAAGGGCCACAAGATCTAACTGCCTTTGGGAAAAATTAACTAACACATCCCTCAATAAGAGGTTACTCTTTCTAATTAGTAGACTATATAATGCTACCTTGTGCCAAATCAGATGCTCTTCAACTGGTAGATTGACACCCAAGATCCCTACCAATAAAGGAGTCAAGAAGGGATGTGTGCTAAGTTGCACCTCTACTTTTTAATTTTTTCCTGAGAGATTTGGCTCTGTTCTTAAATCAAGTGGATGGACACGGTCCTAAGCTAGGCTCCACCCATATACCAGCCAGTCTTGTTATATGCAGATGATGCAGTTCTGCTTTCTTGCACTCGTATGGGTCTACTCCAACTTCTAGACAGCTGCCAGGATTACTGTAAGATCAACCAACTAGAACTAAATTATGATAAATCAAAAATATTGGTTTTCTCAAAATCCAGGAAGCAATTCATATGGAGGATTGGCAACCATAAGCTTGAGCAAGCAAGATACTTTAAGTATCTAGGTCTTCATTTTAATGCCACCACTATTTGGACCCTTCAGCGCAGGATAGCAATCAACAACCTTAAGCCAAATATCAATGCCCTCCTACGGTTTTACTTTTCAAAGAGAGGGAACCAGTTTGTGCCATCAGTGTT